GGCGGGGGGGGCCCAGGCGGTGGGAGCAGCACCTCCCAGGAGCGCTGGTGGGGACGACTGCGTCACCTCGACGTGTGTGCCGTCAGCGGGTGGGCACATGGCGAGCGGGCGGGGCTCTGCCTGTCACCGGGGCTTCCCCTGCTCCGAGCGTGAGCCGCGTGCCAAACGGGGACGGAAAGCACCACACACGGGCGGCGCAGGAACGGCCGCGAAGGGGGAACAGGGCGGGCGCGCCGTGGGCTCCCCGCAGAGCAGGCGTGGCTGGCGCGGCCTCCGACTGCATCCCTTCTCTCCTACCAGCTCCGCCTGCTTGGTGACGAGAAGGCCACAGGGCCGGGAGCCGTGCCTGACCCCTGGGTCGGGGCGTTTCTAGAACCTGGCCGCCCAGCGGGGCTGCCCCTCCCTTGAGAACAGGCGGGAGCCTGGGCCCTTCCCTGAGAGGAAGTTTCTAGTCCGGTTTGGAATCAGCCCCTGGAGAGCACTGTGCTCTGGACCCATCCGTGGAGAGCTTTCTTCTGCCCCTAATCCCTTTACCAGGAGTGGGGAGTCCACGTGGCTGCCCCACGCTTCCTGACCTGGGCAGCTGGCAAGCAGCACACACGCCCTCCCCCCTCGGCGCTTGCACCCCGACGAAGCCATTGTGCGGACACGGACCGCACTCCCGCAGAGACACGCCAGCTTGTCTGGGGACACGTGTTAGGACCAGAGTCCTGAGCTGCCCGGCCCTCCTTACGCATGGAGCCCACGTCACAGGAGGAAGCTGGCCTGAACCTGGACCTCCCAACTGGCAAAGACGCTGCCTCGACAGAAGGCGGGTGGGGACCGGGCCGTTTATCACACAGGCAGACACGCACACGCTTCAGCGCCCGCAGGCGTGTGCACCACACTATGCCTATGAGCCGTAATGTGCGGGCACACCCAGTCATGCCGCGCCATGACACACACGCCACCTCCCACCCCTGACGGTTCACCCCCACACGCAGTTCTCCAGGACTCCGGGGTTCCTTGGGACCTAGTTTGACAACAGTGTCCAGTGAAAACCCTGCAGCTCCCCAGCGAGGAGGAGGAAAGACCCACAGCCCCAGCCGCAGAGCCGGCGAGCCCTGCGCGGGCTCCTGGGGTGAGGGCCCCCACGTCTCCTGCCTGGAGTTGAGCTGCACCCTCCGGTAGACCTCACGGGTGGCACCCCATGCCCAGGACCCAGCAGGGGACTCTAAGAGATGAACTGAAAAACCGTGTCACCGGCCAGTGGGGCCCGAAGACGAAGATCTGGCTTCGCGCGATGTCCACACGGTTCCAGGCCAGGGCCAGGCTCAGCTGATCAGGTGCTGAAGCGTTTGTCCCTGGAAGGCAAGAGGCCGCGCTCACCCACCGAGCTCCCTGGCAGGCGACTGTAACCCACACTGGCTCCTTCCCGGATCTCCACCCAGGCCCTGGGCGGGAAGCTTGGTTTCTCCCCAGCCTCCTGGGAGGGTGCGAGGCAGCCTGTCCCCACGCAGCTCTGCCTGTCTCCTTGGGAAGGACATGGGGGACAGGCATGTGGGAGCCTCATCAGCAAAAGGCAGGGACCCCGAGACGGCCCAGGGCCCGGCCAGGCCAGAGTGCCTGCTGCCTGTCCCCAGAAACAGAGGGCCAGGGGGCCAGCACAGCCCCTGACAGGAGCACCCCACCCTGCTCCTGCCCCATGTGGTCCAGGGGGCCAGAGGCAAGGAGGTCCCAGAGCAGACCCCACTCAGCACCCAACAAGCCTGTCATCAGAGACGGGGTGGGACACTGGCCAGGGCACTGTGAAACAGACACCCCCCCCCCCCCCCTGGAGTTGAGCTGCACCCTCCGGTAGACCTCACGGGTGGCACCCCATGCCCAGGACCCAGCAGGGGACTCTAAGAGATGAACTGAAAAACCGTGTCACCGGCCAGTGGGGCCCGAAGACGAAGATCTGGCTTCGCGCGATGTCCACACGGTTCCAGGCCAGGGCCAGGCTCAGCTGATCAGGTGCTGAAGCGTTTGTCCCTGGAAGGCAAGAGGCCGCGCTCACCCACCGAGCTCCCTGGCAGGCGACTGTAACCCACACTGGCTCCTTCCCGGATCTCCACCCAGGCCCTGGGCGGGAAGCTTGGTTTCTCCCCAGCCTCCTGGGAGGGTGCGAGGCAGCCTGTCCCCACGCAGCTCTGCCTGTCTCCTTGGGAAGGACATGGGGGACAGGCATGTGGGAGCCTCATCAGCAAAAGGCAGGGACCCCGAGACGGCCCAGGGCCCGGCCAGGCCAGAGTGCCTGCTGCCTGTCCCCAGAAACAGAGGGCCAGGGGGCCAGCACAGCCCCTGACAGGAGCACCCCACCCTGCTCCTGCCCCATGTGGTCCAGGGGGCCAGAGGCAAGGAGGTCCCAGAGCAGACCCCACTCAGCACCCAACAAGCCTGTCATCAGAGACGGGGTGGGACACTGGCCAGGGCACTGTGAAACAGACGCCCCCCCCCATGCCAAGCAGTTAGAGGTGGATGGGATCTGATCGCAGCCCTGGGCCGGGCACCACAGACCGCGCCTGGCCTCGCCTCGTCCTCGTCCATGTCCTTGTCCTTGTAGATTCGGGATGAGGCTCCTCCAGCAGCCAGGTGGCTGGGGTCCCCGCACCCCCAGCATGGCCCTGGAGCCCGGTCCCGAAAGCTCACCCTTCAGCAGCGCGGTCAGAATCGCCATCTCGATGTCCTGCTGTCCCTCGGCACCCATCCTGAACACGGTGACCTGAAAACGCCAGGAGGTGGAGGTCGAGTGACGCTGAGGGCAAGCAGGAGAGGGGGCACCGCCAGGAGAACAGGGTGCCCTGCGATGATGCTGAGAGGCTTCGACGGCCAGCTCCCCCAACCTCCAGAAGTGCCCACGGGTCTCTGCCGGGGCCTGGCTGCCTCATCCACGCAGCCAGCCCCAACCCGGGAGGGAGCCGTCCCGGACCCACGGCGCGTCTCAGCTGTCACCAGAGATGACAGCTTCACCTGGGAAACCAGCATTTCGAAGAGGCCTGCGCTGTGCGAAGGTCGTGGGGAGGGCCAGCCGTGGCCGGCTTGCCACCCCAGGAGGGGCGCCACGCGGGGCTCTCTTCCCCAAGGTGTTAAATACTTCCCTAAAGGTTTCAGGTACTTCCTCCACGCGTGAGAGGCAGCCAGGCGGCCCCCAGTGTGATCGTGACGCACACCGTGAGCCGCCCCCGCCTCCGCCAGCAGGACCGGCACATGCCTGCCCAGCATACTCTGGGGTCTGCGGACCTGTGCCCGGGGCCTGCCTATGGCCGCGCCACCCTCCGGCCCTCCCGGGCCTTTCACTGGTCGACATGGAAACCCCCGAGTGTGTCGTCTGCCGTGCTGTCACTACACAGTCCCTGAGGTTGCGAAACACCCAGGACCTGCGCCTGCACTGTGTCCTGCCTCCAGCCCGCGGACACAGCCTCACGTTTGCCTGGGCTGTGGCCGGCCTCTTGGGACGGCTGGACCGAGACCGGAACTGCGCAGCAGGGCCACGCAGGCAGGAGAGGGGGCGAGGGTGCCCGTCCGCGGGCGCGCTGCTCACCAGCTCTTTCTTCTTCATGCACTCCGATATCATGGCCAGCAGCTGCTGCGCCTGCGTCCTGCCGTAGCTGAAGGTTTTCTGGATGGTCACCAGCAGCTGGTCCCTGAGGGACTCGCTGATGCCCCTGTTGAAAGGAGGCCAATAAGCACGAATGATGTCTGCGTGTGTTCCCTGGCGACTCTGCCGTGACCGGGGCCACTGTGAGGCACCGGGGCCACTGTGAGGCACGTGGGCACAGGGGACGAGGCAGCCAGAGACAGACGCTGCACCGCTTGCCCTAACTCCCAGCCTCACCGCAAACCGGCTCGGGGGTGAAGGTGGGGGAGGGTGGACTCTGCCCGACGCCGCCCGCCTGCCCCGGGAAGGGAGAGGAGATCGGCACGCCCAGGGTGTCTACTCGGACCCCGGGACGGTCTCGGCCACGTGCGTGGTTGGGATGCCTACCCGCCGTCCTCGCAGTACTTGTGCGCGAAGGATAGGAGGTCCGAGGCTCGTCCGCTGCCGTCACAGAGCACCACGGGCACCGGCGGGTCTTCCCGGAGGTACTCCAGGACCACAGAGACCACGTTGGGGCCCCCCTCCACCACCAGGCCCACGACAGGCACGCCCTGCCCCAGTCCTGCAACACAGACCACGCGCCACGCTGGGACGGCCACCCGGGCAGCCCTGACACGCGTGAAGAGGTGACCTGAGGCTGGGTGGCCCCAGGTGGAGCTCGCCTGGGTGGAGGAGCTCGGGCCCACGGTGACGTTTCATTCTTGGACTCAGAGCCCGCATCACAGCCTCACCAGGAAATCCAGGCCAGGACCCTGCACTCTGGGCTCACGGGACCTCACGTGGCTTCATGGCAGACCGGGAGAAGCACTGAAGTTCCTGCCCACTGCTGTACCCACAGACGCCATCGTGAAGGGGCCTGACAGTCACAGGAACGTGTAGGTGAGGCCTGGCCTCCCCTGTGCTGGCCTCTGCCAGGGCCAGTCCCCAACCCACAGGGCCTTGGGTGGCCATCATGAAAGGCATGTTGCCACAGGCCCCTCATCTCCTGCGGAAGGGACAGACCCAGAGCAAGCTGCTGTCTGTGTGAGGAGCATGCCACTGCCCGGGACACTCAGAGGCCACAGCGACCACTGTAGGCCCATTGACAACCTCCCAGGAGTCCTGCCTGCTCTTGTCGGTCAACAGGACTGTCCAGAGCACGGTGGACGCGGTCACCTTTGGTGGCAGGCCCAGCTGGAGGGCTGTGGGGGGCAGGAGGATTCTGGGAAGCTGGGACCGTGCAGTGGGAAGGCAGTGGGGACGGAGAGGGGACAGCTGCCTGCCTCTGTGATGACAGGTTAATGTGCCGGGCGTGTTCACCGGGCATCGCTAGCTGTGGTGGGACTGACCGGCACTAATGAGTGACAAGCAGAAGTGTCCTTGGTCTCGCTGCTCTGAAGGGCCAGCTACAATCTGTCGGCATTAAAGGGGCTTCAACGTCTTCATGGAAAAATGGAATGGAAGTTCTAATTAATTTCGGTACAAAAAAGTGTGAAATCCATGCATAGTTTTTTCACGCAATCTCCATGAACTTTTGAAGACGGCATAGGTTGGGAGGAGACATGAGGACTTGGCTGGGTGGATTCCGAGCTCCCACCATGCTCTGCCCCCAGCCCAGGCGCTCACGTCCACAGCTTTGCCGGTTCCCTCCAGGACAGCCGTGGTCTCGTCCGCGTTGGCAACCATGCTTTCGGGTGTGTGGCAAGCCCTTACTGGGGGAGGCCAGGGACTGGGCCCGGGAGACCTGCCGGCCCCTGAGCGTCCCTGGGCGAGTAGCGGTGCTGTCTTAGCACTTCAGGAGCACGGCGGCCACACGGCGGCCTCTCGAGACAGCGTGGACCTGGTCCTTCTCAGCTTAGGCTGTGCTCCCTGAAGCCCGGTGCTGTGGGAGGTGACAACTGGGCACCCCTTTGCTGTCCCTGCCCCACTCAGAGCCCTGAGCAAAGGATGACAAAGGGAAGCCCACCGGTCACACGGTCTCGTGGTCAGGAAAACTCGCAGGCCCAGATGAGAGCACAGGCTCAGCTGTCAGCCAGCTTGTCCTTTAGGTCAGATTCTTGGGCCCCGTGACACTTCTCAGCCGGTGGCCCCTCGCACTGCTCACGTCTCTGGGGCTAGGCTTTCCCTCCCCCGTGTGCACATGTGTGCAGACGTTGCAAGAGCATGCACGTACCCCCTGACCGCATGCCTGTGTGGACCTTGCAAGAGCATGCACGCACCCCTGACCCGTTCTCCTGCCATGACCCAACCCCACCTTGGCCAGCCCCAGATCGTGGGCACATGCCCGCCTGGTGCACTCGGGATCTTCCCCGGGGTCCTGCTCCAGGGAACAGCATTTCCGCACTGTCCACTCCCACAGCAGGTCTTCTGACTGCCATGTCCCAGGCCTGGCCTTCTCACACCATCCTCACCAGGAGTACAAGGTACTCTTTCCGATCACTACCACGGCTAAACACGTCCCACAGAACTACGACAGCTTTTTTTCAGAGATTTTTGCTATAGGGCGTGTGTGCTCACCAGAGAGACAGAGAGACAGAAAGCGAGAAATTCCCTCCCCACTGGGGATGGCCAAGCCACAGTCCTTTCTCCTCTGGGATTTTGGGCATACACGCACACGCACCTGGTATGCGTTTCAAGGTGCTGGGTCTAGGACTCAAAGTGTGGTGGACTATGTGGGAGTCTAGCGACGTAACCATTACGCCATCTGCTGGTACCTGTGACAGCTACTTTTTATTTGTTTTTAATTGCCAGAGGGCACATGGACTCACCAGAGAAAGACAGAGAGGGAGAGAGAAAGCACCCCCATAGGGCGTGGTCACACTCAACCCCTCTCTGTTTCTTCATCCTGGAGGGATCTGTGGCACACACATGTGCCTAGCATGCTTCCAAGCCTCTGGGGCCAGGACTTGAACAGTGTGGTTACCAGGCATGATCCGGCCCTCTTCACCGGGCCACAGGGCCGGCCCTCCCAGTTGTCACTGCCACCAGCTATTACTGCTCCACCCCCGACTGTCCCCTCCCCTCTGGCGCTGTTCTCTGCACCCTCCCGACAGTGGCAGCTCCCCCGGCTGTGCCACCTGATTGCAGGATGATTGGCATCAGGAGTGCTGGCTCCTGCAGCCCCCCGGGCTCCCCTGCTCCCTGGTCTGGAGCTCAGACCCAGAGCACAGAGCTAGCTAATGGTCAGGGAACGCTGAGTCCACAGACTCAAACTCAGTCTCTGTGCAGGAACCTCCTTTAAGACGTTTAGAAATTGGGACGGCAATTACAGGGACCAGAGCCACAGGCACACAGTGGCACTGCCTTCCCCATGACAGCCACTGCAGGCAGGGGGGTCTCTCCCTCCACCATCCCAGCAGAGGGAGAAGGAGCCAGGCGGGAAGGAAGAGGCAGACAGGCATCCTGTTAAGTGAGCCTGGACCTAGCACCGCACGGCCGTTCTGGCGCCACCATGAACTTGGGGCAGCCGAAAAATCAGGGAGTCAACGCCTTCGGTGGCCTAGGGAAGTCCTTTCTGTTGCCCCAGCAGGGCTCCGGGTTGGAGCCACCTGCTCCCCTGGGCCATGCTCCCCCCTGGGCCATGCCCTCTGGGCCCGTTTCCAGTGCTGGCACCCCGTGGCCCTCGCACCCTCGCCAGGACTCACGCGTGTTGATCTTCTGCAGAGAGATGTGCTTCTCCAGCTGCCTGCGCAGCCTCACCTCGGCACCGTACTTGCCCAGGGTGCCATCGTCAGCCAGGATGAAGTGCGTGTGGGAGCTGTTGAGCACGGAGAGCTTGCTGAGGGGGTTGGCCATGGTCTGGTACACTCTCGTCACCTGAAAGGACACAGGGGCCGCTGTTCACCTCACTTCTCTACTGTTACTCCACGAGTTCACCTGGCGAGGTGTTGACAGGTGGAGATCACACTAAGGTCATCAAGGTGGCTCCAGGGGTGCATTCATAAAGAGGGGCGACACGGACACACACACACGTGCTCTCTTCACGTGAGGCCCTGCAGTGCCCCTCCCAGACGTGACCTTGGACCTCAAACTTCCCAGCTGTGAGCTACCTGGACTTCTACTGGTGGAACTCACCCACTGTCAGCTTCTCTCAGCTGTGAGCTGCACACTGGACCAGAATACTTTGGTTAACACAGAAGCTTGTGCTGGCATGTTTACAGAAGCCTTGCTCATAACAGACAAACTGTAAGCAAGCCAGTGTCCTTCAACAGAGCTGTTGGACAGCTCCGTAGTATATCCAGACCCTGTGATATAGCCACACTCTGTGGTCTGTCCAAGCCCTGTGGTATGTCCAAGTCCTGTGGTATGTCCAAGCCCTGTGGTATGTCCAAGTCCTGTGGTATGACCAAGCCCTGTGGTATGACCAAGCCCTGTGGTATGTCCAAGCCCTGTGGTATGTCCAAGTCCTGTGGTATGTCCAAGCCCTGTGGTATGTCCAAGCCCTGTGGTATGCCCATGCCATGGGACATTGCTCAGCAGTGGGAGAGACCAAGCTACCTGTGCAGCAATAGACCAGACCAAAGTCTAGAGAAGAATGTGGGGGAAGAAAGTGGTTTCCAAGGGCTGCGCTGCATGTCTTCTCACTTAATACTCTTGAAACAATAGCATCTGGAGACAGGCACGAAGTTGCGATTACCGGGGTAAGAGGAGGAAATAGGGGACTGGAAACTGGATGTGGCTGTTAGAGGGCAGCAGAAGGGACCCTCGTACGATGGAATATCCTGTCCCTCACTGCGTCAAGACCCGTGTCCTAGATGGATGTGTACAGTCTGATGGGGACTGGCTGGAAGCCACGCGGGAGCTTTCTTGAAACAAAAGCTCTGTCTCAGCAATGTCGATGTCTGCAGAGGTAACACTTACATCCTTGCCAACCAGGTCCTCCTTGTTTTCCACCATGCCCCATGGAGCAATTCCGATTGCACAGACCCGACCCCTGGACTTCGATGAGTGGTCTTTCAGGGCGTCCCCCACGTGGGTGATGACACCTGTGAGCAGCCACAAGTGCCAGTTCAGACCTGTTTACTTCTCATTAGCTGCCCTCGGGAATAGGAGGGGCCCACTCTGCACCCCAGCCTTCCCTATGAACTGGGTGAGCTGCCATGGCCTTCCTTGTGAGGCCTAGTGCAGTGCACAGCTGGGCCCGTGGAGCAGCAGTGCACAGCAGCTCCCAGAAGGGCCCAAGCAGAAACCAGAGCCAGCGCAGGGATTCCCTCCTGAGTTTCTGACTAAAGATGGAGGGTGGGGGGTGCTGGCAGCACCCGATACTAAACCGCCTCAGCTGCAGGCAGGAGCAATTGCCTGGCTCTCACCTTCACTGGTGCCTTCTCCCACGGACAGGGAAGGCTCACTGAGGAGCCAGGGAAGCTTCTGGGAGGCTCCGTTCCAGGCAGGGCATGAGCAGGTGCCCAGGGATGCAGCCTCTATCGCTGTCACACTGGCCAATCACCGAGGACAAGCAAGCTGTGGATGGGTGCCACTATCGTCTGTGTGGCTGGGGTGACATGCGTGTCTCTGGACTCAGTTCCTAGGGGGCCTGTGGCTTGCAGTAAGTGCTGGCTGCACCACACAGGTCGGAAGGGCCACTCTTACCAGTGCTGACGCCCCCGGTGAAGATCCAGGCCCCAGTGGTCATGGCGGCCTTCATCAGGCCTTTCCCGAAGACGTGCTTCAGCTTGGGCTGCATCTCGAAGTTCCGCAGGCCGCCATGCACAGAGACCAGGAGCGTGGGGAGCTCCAGCTGCCAGTCCTTCACCATGAGGTGCAGCAGTGCGTCCGGCTTGGTGTCATAGGACACACGGATGTACTGCAAGACAGCGTGCTCAGTGCCTGGCGGTGTGGTTCCCGTCTCGGGGCAGGGCTGGCGCTCGAGCCCCGGTGAGAACAGTCTGCCCGGTGTCCCCAGGCCCTGACGTCCTTGTGTGTGTCTGTGCGTGTGCGGACTCCGGGAAGGGCGCCCCACATGGAGGTGTGCATGTTCATGTCCCAGCATCCACACCCAGAGCCTGGGCCCCGGGTCACTAGTGTCCAGAAGCGGCCTTTGGGACGAATGGGGTCAGCGATGGGATCAGGCCCCTGTGGGAGAGGCCCGAGGGTGCTTACTCACCCCCATGCCACATGGGGCGGGGCAGGAAGGAGCCAGTTACGGTGCAGATGGAAGTTTATCTCAGATGTGCAGCCCTGAGACGTGAGCAATCGAAAATCCCTGTGCATGGGCCCAGCCGGGGCGGCTCACGTGGCAGGTCTGCTGTGGGAGCCAGGCCCCACGGGAGGCAGGGGTTTGGATCCCGGGCCAACCAGAACCGGTGGGGTGTGGAGGAGCAGGGAAGGCAGATCTCGTGGTAAGGCCTGACAAAAGACCTTCCTCTCCCTCCACCTCTACCCTCTGTATTTCTAATTTAAAACAAAGGGAGGGCCAGCCCCACACGGCCTAGTGGTTAAGGGAGACAGATCCCACATGAAGAACCATGGTCAGATTCCCAGCCCTAGCAGTCTCGAAAACATGCTGGGCATGTGTGGTGTGTGTCCCATACCCAGATGGGACGAGGGATGAAGGGGAAGGGGTGGTGGGTGGCATGACCACGCCTCATGGAGGTGCATTCGCTCTCTCCCTCTTGGTCTCTCTCTCTCTCTCCTTCTCTCTGCCCCTCTCTGTCTCTCCCTGGTGAGGCCATGCTTCCTCTGCAATTAAAAAAACTTGTTAGTAGTAATGTACCCGGCTAAGGTGCTCGTCATCGCTGTAAGCCAGCCCAGGCTAAGGTGTCTGTTGTAGCAGTCCAATGGACCAGGACACCCAGCTCAGTCAAATTTCAGATGAGCAGCAGAAATGGTGCGATGTCTGCCCTGCACGCGGTAGACCGTGCGCTGCTGGGGCTACTTGGCTGCACAGCGACCTGCGGTTCGAAGCCCAGGTACAGCTCTGTCCTGTCTTTCACCTGGCAGCCCTAACCTGAGGACTGATCCGAAGCCAGCTCAGCATGGTGGACGGGGATGCCGTGTGAGTGAGAGAAGAGATTTGGGGCTCGTGTCCAGATTTGACCCTCTCCTTGGGGAGAGGAGGGGTCATGGTCAGATGCCTGGGTCCCTGGCCTGGTTCTTTGTGTCCATGTCCAGCTGTCAGCATGATTCCAGACTACGTTATTTGGAATGCGACTGAATCTCACTGGAGCAGCGATGTGGGTGGGCCAGTGAGATAAGACGTGGGTGTGGACTAAGCCGGCTGGGCGTATGGGGGCGTGGTTCTGGGCGGGCCGAAGACCCTGCAGTGTCCACCAGAGGCAGAGGCCACCCTTGCCCACCAGCAGCTGTTGGAGACCCCGGTCCCTCTCAGGCAACAGAGAGGAGCCCAGGGAAGCCGCGGATGGACTTCAGAGCAAAATACTTGCAGGGGCCCTAGAACATCGGGGGGCTGCAGGCCATCGTAGGGAAGAAAGGGGGTTCTCGCCACTGGGGAGGGAGCGCCGGCTTGCGTCCACAGGCCTGGGGCACACGGCTGCAGGTCAGAGCTCGGTGCAGATCCCCGGCCCCGGCACACCCTTAGACTAAGGTCTAAGGGTGGAGACCACAGGCCCCGCCCTGTTTGCCAGTCCTGACTCTTTTACAGTAGTGTCCAGTTCCCAGACCCCACGGTTGCAGGCATGCGCCAGCCCCGTCTGGCTTTCCTGGAAATGTCTAAGAAGGTGGAGCACACCTCTGGACAAGGCCAGGGGCCCGGAGCCTGGCGACTGTGGCTGAGGCCGCGCCTGTGCCCACTTACCAGGGCCTTGTTGGAGGACCCGCCGCCCTGGAACTCGAGGGTGCCGTAGGAGTCGGTGGGGTAGCTCTGCGTGTGCTTGCTGGTGCACCATTTCTCCGGCTGCGGCTCCCCCTGCCTGCTCTCCTCCCCACCGCCCGGCACG